CCGATATTCGTTCAGCTTGCGCTCGGCCTCATACTCGGTGACGACCTTGTTCTTCTTGACCACTTGCTCCTCGAGCCAACCGTACCAGCGGACCTGGATTCTCCGCCTCGAACACAGATTTCCTAAAGAGGGAACAAAGGAACGAACCATGGCGACGCCGTCACGGAGATTCGCATTGTAGAACCCTTGGATCTCGACGTCGTTCTGACTGCTTTCGAGATGTTGATCGGAGACGGGATGATCTTGGCCTTGTCCTGTGTAGCGGTCAGTTCATCCATCCGCCAACTGGTTTACATCGATCACTTACCCCCAGGACCTCTATCACCGCATACGACGCCTTGGGATCCACCAACACAGCGCTCTTCGGGTTTTCCGCCTTCTCCGCTTTCAAAAAGTCCCAAACATCGCCGTACGGCACGGTCCGCACGCCCGCGGCAGTCAGATACGCATCGACCTCGGGACTGACTTCCGCGCGGTCGATGAACAGCACCGCATCCGCCGCGGAGACGAACATGTACGCGTAGAAGAACGGCTGGTTAAACGTGTCGTTCCCGCGCAGGTTCACCAGCCACGCGAGGTCGTCGAGCGGCGTCACGAGGTACGCGCCCGCGCCCGCCTCTGCGATGGCCGCGCGCAGCTCCGCGAGCTTCGACTCTATGCCGCGCCCGGTGAACTTGAGCGGGTGGACGACTACGGCATCCGTCGAGCGCACGGGCTTATCCGTCCACACCGCGTCGACGAGGTTCGTGCGCTGGCACACGAGCCGCGAGCCCGCCGGCAGCGCCGCGTCGAGTGTGGATTTGAGCGACGGCGGGATCAGCCGCGCGTCGACGCCGATGCGCGAGCCGGCGGGGAGCTGTGGTGCAGTGTGGTCAGCAATTTGCGTGCATACTCGAGTATAGAAGAGCGGGGAGCGCACAGTCACGAGGAAGTCCTGGAACCCACCCGGCACCAGCGCGCGCGCGGATCCAGCTCTGAGCGTCCACAGGGCCGGGTCCATCGCCTTCTCCGCGGCGATCCAGTACCGGCTGTCCGTGAACAGCAGCGCCTCGTCCTGGGTGACGACCGCGAGCCCTGCGGTGCCGTGGAACCTATCCGGAGTTCCGTATTCAGCAGATGCCCAGCCGACTAACGCAAACACAGTATGCGCACCCGGTCATGAACCCGCGCCGCAGCTCGCTCGACGCGGGGATCTCGCTCCCGTGCTCGTCCTCGTTGGGGATGACGTACGCATCGAGCTTGTTCTCGGTCATCAGCGCGCGGAGCTCCGCCAGGGCTGCAGCGGAGCCGGCGCCCGACGCGCGCAGGGCGGCGCGATAGGACGGTGCTGATGGTCGTGCGCCCATTCGGGACGACTTCTCAGGCACGTCGGCCGCATCGAGAGCTGCGTTGGTCGGGCGGCCCAGGAATGGTAGGCAGGAGAAGACCATGGCGGAGGTGGTGGTGTGGTCTGGTCTGCGCTGGGAGAGTGCGGATAAGCAGCAGCTATAGGGTCCGGGCACATGCTCGGACGCGATGATGCCGTGATGCGCGTAACGAGCGGAGAGCCGGCTGATGCCGCGGCGAACGAACGCGATCACATGATTTCGCTTGACGCGTAGATTGATTATCGAAATGCAGATAGTAGTTTGCGAATACACTAATAATTAAATAATTCTAGACTCCCCTCTCCAGTCGCCCTCACAGCCGAGTCCAGCAAGAGTCTCGAGTACAACGTGTGGAACCTCATGATGATGCTCTGCCGTAGATCTAGACCGCCAACTGGGCGCTGGCATCGTCGAATCCCTGAAGGATTCGAGCCAGACATCGTGAGCGTGGACGTGAATTGCAGCGTGACCAGCGGCGAATCTGGATCGGAGTCTTCGACCGAGAACGAGTGATATCCACCCAGCAGGCCCGGTTTCGGGGACGGAGGAGTCGGTTGGAGCCACCAGGAGACGATGATAGGCCCGTGTAGCACAGCCGCGTTCGGGAGGATCTTCGGTCGCTCCTCATGAGACTCGACAAAAAACTGCAATCGATTAGTCGGAACTATCCGGGGGAGCAATCTATCTAATCAAAGCACTGGCCCATACATATCCCGTCATGACCTGCTCCCCAGGCACAACCCAGCCGGGTGCTCCCCGCGACTGCCCTCCCGTCTCGAGAACACGCCGAGCCTCAGCACGCCCTCGAGCACATCGATGATCCGCGGCTCGAGCCGCAGCCACCAGCTACCCCAGAACGCCCGCGCGAAGCCCACCGCCAGATCATCATCCGCCTCGCCGGCGGATTCAGATTCCTCCCCTCCGGCGCGCGCGGCGGCGGTGAGCACGAGCCGGCGCGGGACCTGCGCCGTCCACGTGTCCCCCGCATGTGCCGCCTTCCACGCCCCTCCGGACGCAGGCGCCGTCCCGCTCAGGCTTTGGGCGCTCAGTTCGAGGTGCGGCGGGATACGGCGCGTGGGGTATTTCGCGCTCAGGCGTATGTGTTGGTAGTAGAGGACGCCGAGGACGCCGATTGGAAGTAGTGCAAAGTAAGGGCGGGGCGGCATTGCTGGTTGGTTTGTAGATTGAAACTTGTAGGGATACCACCGCTGCGTCTTATAGTCTTTGATCGACCCGATACTCCCCGAGGTGATACGCCTTGCTCCGACAGTCTGTGTTCTTGTCATATTGAAACACTGATGCATTCTCGCAAAGTGTCGCATGTATGTATAAACCTACCAGCGTTCCAGGACCATACCAACACAGGTTTCGCACGGTTCGAAAACGAAAAGAACATCATCACGTGTCCAGAAAAGCATCAACATTGATAATTTGATTTGCAGTCTCTTGTACATTGAGATCACTTCATTATGTATGTAGCATAAACAGATAATACGGTCCTCGATTGGTCATTAGTCATAGAGCCGACTCGCAGGCCGCCCGCCATCGACGAATATCTTGCTCAGCGGCCGAGTCGGCCTCACCCTCCGTTTCCCATCCCGCATGCTCCTGATCGCCTGGTCGAGATCCCCACGTCCAACAGACCGGCCCTGCGAATTGGGCGTGTGCGACGGCGGCGGGACGAGCGAGTTGCCTGCCGCTGCCGGTGCAGCCTTGATCGTCGACGAGCCGGCTTCAGAAGCCGGCTCCTCCGGAGCGGTGGTTACGACCGCGGGTGTCTTGAAGTCAGCCTTGTCCACCATCTCCAGTGCGCATTTCTGCAGCAGCGTCGAGAACGACACGATCAGCCCGAAAAAGTCTTCGGGCGAGGTCGTCTCGGGTGTCTCGCCGTAATACGCGAGCAGCGAGCGCAGCTCCGTGTCCAACGACTGCGACATGTTCTTCAGCGCCACCACACTCGGCTCCACCTGCCCCGCAAACGGCTGCATAACATATACAAAGCGATCCCCCGGGGGCGACCCCGCCTGCCTCTTCTTCTGCATCTCGTCCTTCACCTGGGCCAGCCCCGCCACGAGCGTCGCGACGGACTGCGCGACCGTCTGCAGCGACACGCGCGCCGCCGCCTCTAGGTGCGGCATCTCCTCGATGAAGTTCACGAGCGACACGTCCGTGCGCATCAGCACGCGGGCCAAGTAGTGCAGCAGCGTCGGGCAGTCGGCGCCCCCGCGCGCGGTCTTCGTCTCCTTCATCTTCAGCAGCGCCTCCAGCTGGAACCCGCGCGCTCCGCCCCGGAACGTCGACCCGTTCAGCGCGTTGCCGAGCGCCAGCACGGCCTGCAGCACCTGCTTGAACTTGAGCGACGACCGCAGCTCGTGCGACGCATTGCGCAGGATGTTCAGCTCTGGCCGGATCTCCTCGATGTCCAAGTCAAGCTTACGTCGGTACAGCATGCATTCCAGCCGTTCGGACAAACGTGGGATCGTCATCACCTGCCCGAAGTACTGGTCCGCTTTGGCCAGCTTGCCCAAGTCGTCGTCAAAATCCTTGATCCGCCCCATCTCCTCTGCGGTGGGCAGCTGCTTGCTGATCGCCTTCAGATCGTCCACTGACAGCTTCTCGTCGTTCAAATCCAGCAACGCCTGCTTGATGTCAGGAAATCCCATCTTGATGCGCGACAACATAATCGCTACAAATCGACAGTCAGAAAAATCACGTAAGCGCACACACACAGCTGCGCACCAATGTTATTCGCCCTGGTGATATCCAGCAGCGTCGTCACCGCCTGCCTCTTCGGACTGGCGCGCAGCTGGGACGGCGTCGTCGGCGTGTTGTCAAGCGTGAACGTGGCCTCCAGATCGTCCATCTTGAACTCAAACCCAGCGCCGATGTCGTTCCACACAGAGCCGCCCGCCGCATTCACCTTGTTCCAGAAGAAGGGCTTCAGCCGTTTGGCCGGCTTCGAGACCCTGACAGGGGATCGGAACGCGCTCGGAGGCGGCGGCGGGGGTGGTGCCCCGCTGCCCGGTGGAGGCGGTGGCGGTGCTGCGACACCGATTGTCGACGGTGGGGGCGGCGGAGGAGGCGGAGGCGGCGCATTCCCAGTAACCGGTGGTGGTGGGGGTGGTGGGGGCGGAGGCGATGATGGCATCGAGGATGGACTGGGCGGGGCTGGAGGCGGCGGGGGCGGAGGAGGCGAAGACTGGGCTGTCGTTCCCAACTCGGGAAGCGTGACAGACCGCGTCGGCGGCCTGGGCGGTGGAGGCGGCGGAGGGGGCGGGGGCGACCGGGGCGAATTCGTCTTGACTGACGCGCGTTTGGACGGCGGGGGAGGTGGCGGCGCGTGAGCAGCTTTGAACTCTTTCTCTGTCATGGCGGGTTTGGCCGCTAGTTTGGCCTGGAGCTCGTTGACCTCGACCACCAGAGCCGCGATCTCTTCGTCTTTGCGCGTCAAACTGTCGATCGTGCGCGATGCCATCATCGCGGCGTCCATTTCTGCTTCCTCCTTGGACTCTTCCCGCGAGATGAAGCGCGTGTAGACCGACTCGAGCGCCCGCTTCAGATACGTGATCTCCTTATCTTTGAAAGCCCCAGCGGATTCGAGTTCGGCGTTCTGCAGGATGGCTTCAACGATCTGTCTCCCTCCGGCGAATCAACCACCACCCACCTTCGTCTTGAGCTTGGCAATCTCATCATTCAACGAGTTCCACTTGGCTCTGTCGCGCTCCCGTTTCGCCCGATCGTCCTGCAAGATGTTCGTCAGTGAGGCAAACAACATGGAGCGAGCATGGGACGCACCGCTTCCCTAGCTTCGCCCGGATTCTGAGCCTTAAAGCGATCTACCTCGGCCTGGAGCTGGAGCACCTGCTTCTCCTTCTGGACCAGTCGCTGCACCAGTCCATGGAAGTTCTACGCCATTAAGTACACAGACGGGAGACACGTAAACAGATAGCGATGCTCACCTCGCCACTCTTGCCGCTGGACTTGGTGTTGGGAACTTGCAGGTTCAGCGGTAGACTCTTCAGCGTGTTCATCTCAGCGATTTGCTGATTTAGCTTGTTCCTCAGCTCGGTACGCTGTGGAAACCCATCAGAAGCAAACTCTACTCAGAGAGAAGCATGATTACCTCGTCGCTCAGCTCCTCATATTTAGTCCTAAGAGACTCGAGCTCTTGCTCAGCGATAGAACTCGATGCGGAATCCGAAGGCGCGTTAACCTCGAGTTCTTGGCCCGTGATGTGCACAACGGAAGCTGCGAAACGCTTCATGAAAAGCTGCCAGCCGTCGTCGCTGCAATTGCTACTCTTCAGTAGTGTGAATTCTTCAAGGTTAGGAACTCACAAATCATCCAGCATCGCCGCCTGCTCCACAAACCGATCCAGAATCTTGAACAAGTCCGCCTTCAGTTGCCTGGTTGCCCATCAGCTGGCGAGCCGATCAATACAAGTCTAAGAGCACTCACATCCCGATATCTTTCTCGAGGATCTGGCCGTAGTGGTTCATAATCTCAATCATCATCGGATACAACTCCCCGTGCTGCTTAGCCAGCCTTATGAGATTCTCCAGCGCCGACTCCGACGATCCCCTTTCTTGCGACCGGCTCATCAGGTCACGCGCACGCTCGCGCATGTCCTGCTCGTCTTCAAACTTTTCTTCCGTGTAGACGTCTAGTTGCGTAAGCAGAGTATCCGGGGGTTTGATGTACCGCAGAGCCTTCAAAAGCGTCAATTGGTCGATCAGTAGCATACAAAAGCATCGACGCACCACAACGACTTCGTTCAGGCCCCGCCGTCCGAACTCTTCTCGGAGCATGACGCGGTCCTCGAGTGCCTCGGGGCAGTTCGTCAGCGCGTTGATCAGCGCCATGGACGCAGTCCTCGCTTCCCACGCGCCGTCCTCCTCGCTCGCGCTCATCTCGAGACCGTCGTCGCTCTCCACATCCGTCGCCGGATCAGGCAACCGCAGCGAGGCGATGAGTCCCTCGAAGCGGAAGGACTCTTCGAATTCGACTCGGTAGTCGGACAGGGCGGCGAGAACGGCCTTGTGGCCTTCCGTCAGTGACAGCACGCAGATGGCCGCCAGCAATTCTGAAGAGAGACTGCGCAGTTTTGGTGTCGCTGCGTGGAGGGAGTATGCGATGTGTGTGATGATGGCCGGCGATCCCAGAACTTGGTTGAATCCGGGCTGTG